GAAATTGGGTACAGAAGTTAACTTTTTATGGGTACGGCACATAAAGGAGTAGAAGGAAATGAAATGGCAGATTATTTTGCAAAAAAGGCAATAAGAGAGAGAGAGAAATAATAAATATTGCATATAGTGCCGCTGAAATTAAATCTATCATTAAAGCACATGTAATGGAAGAGTGGCACAGGATGTGGGAAAGGGAAGAGAAAGGAAGACATTTATTTTAGATGCAAGGGAAAGTAGGACAATGGAAAAATATAAGGATGAATAGTAGAGATCAAAGAATAATATCAAGATTAAGAATGGGACATACTGGGCTTAATAATACGATGCATCTGATGGGGAAACATCCCACAGGATTGTGTGGATGTGGGGTGGGGGGAGAAACGGTGGAACATGTTTTATGTAACTGCATAAAATATGAGGAAAGTAGAGGAAGACTCAGGGAGAAGTTAAAAAGCATAGGAGGTGGAGTGATAAGTGTAAAGTATGTTAAATGGTGAAGAAGGGAAATATGGGTTCGTTATTGAGTATCTAAAACACAGTGGTTTGTTCAATAGAATTTAGTTTTTTTGTTGTTTTTTGATACGCTCTTACTCCGACTCACACTCCAGCACAGTAGGTGGCGGAAATGCACCTAGCAGTTAGATGTCACCCGCCAATAAACTGAGTATAAACTCGAAGAAGAAGAAGAAGAAGAAGAAGAAGAAGAAGAAGAAGAAGAAGAAGAAGAAGAAGAAGAAGAAGAACTGGATTCAACCTCAGATTGGAATCCCATGTCCCAAGAGATGTCGATTGGAATCCCATGTCCCAAGAGATGTCGATTGGAATCCCATGTCCCAAGAGATGTCGTCACCTTTGGAACTCTCCTTCAAACAAACAACCAAGAACTCTGCTACAATCTACTTCTCTGTCTGGCAAAATTCTTCATACATAGACAAAAAATACTGAAATCACCCCCTGTGTTCAATGCATTTGTACATGATTTTAGATTGTATCTAAAATCCCTTAAATGTATCAATAATAACAGCTATGAAGATATGTATAGACTTTTTTGTAGACTTCCTGGAACTGTGTAGTGGTCCCTTGCATTGTTTTTGTGCTTTTTTTTTTGTTTGTTTTTGTCCTCCCCCTTTTCACTGACTGTTCAATTCTCATCTGAATACATTGGCATGTTCGCCTTATTTGTAATGTAAATATGCTTTTCTGCAATTAAAAAAAAGGAAGAAAATGGGGGACTAGTGGTGTATAAGTTGGTCAGAGACTTTTAAGGGACAGTGGATTACTTGATAGAATATATATATATATATATATATATATATATATATATATATATATATATATATATATATATATTTTTTTTTTTTTTTTTTTTTTTTTTTTTTTTTTTTAAGTAGGATACTCCCCACTTCGACTCACGCTCCCATTCAGTAGGTGGCGGAAATGCACCTGAAAGTTGGTTGCCACCCGCCATTAAACAACAGAAGAAGAAGAAGAAGAATAAACAAGAAGAAGAAGGCTGAGCGAGCTAGTTATCCTCAGCAGTTTCTCCTCGGATCGTATTTTATGACGGGTATCCCCGACGAGCAGGTGATCCCCGAACAGAGTCATGTCGTGGTAAAGTGTTGAACCGTAAACTTCGGGACTTGTTTTTAGCTTTAGCCTAGGCCGAGGTCAGTCTGAGTTAGCCTGTCATCCATTGTTTTCCAAACAAGTTGTTTTAGTTGGAAAGCTGTCCACAAACGGGTGGTAGGGTGATGTAAAAGCTACTAAACAATTTACCGAAACGTCATGGCAGTCGGTTGAAATGCGGGTTAAAAAAGCTGTTTGCTGCAGCCAAACTTTTGCCTGACATAAAGCTGGGGTAACGTCTTCGTTTTTAGAAGGAATAAAGATAACAATAGTCCTTGTTTAACATTATGGTGTTATGGCAACCTTTTGTTTTTAGTCTAGACTAGTTTTGACTTATTAAAAACGGTATTGTAGTTGTAGATTGTCCAGTTAGCTTAAATAAGTTATTTTAATAAAGGACTAGCGTCATTTTTATTGTTGTGGTAAAACTCCTGCAATGACTTTAACCGAGCTAAACCCAAATACGTGCCAAAGCCTCATTAATATGTTTACTATAATACAAGTTTGAAGCAGCTGGCGCAGTGACATCTGGTGGTTTGATGTTAGAATAGCAGCTCCCAGTTCAGACCAAAGCAGCTCTTTTATTCAGGGCTTGTCCATGAACAGCTTTCTTATAACATTTTTATTTTATTCTTTAATTCTTTAGTGAAGTGTAAAAAACCTAAAGAATGTCCATTCACTTTATTGATTTAGAATAATTTTTGACTTAAAATACAAAATACTTGTTGATCACCTCTGTGTTTATCTTCATTATTTTTGCATTTACACTTTCAGATTTTTCCTCCCATTTCACATGACGTTATATTTTCCCACAGGAAGACACCTGGGAACCTATCCACCCCCTCAGCTCTGAAGATGGAGGACCATGTCCACTGTGTGTCCTGTATCAACCTGAGGTGCACACTCAAACCTCAACCTGGAGTTTCTTGTGATCTTATTTCATGTCCACTGCTCTGTGGGGCTGGGTTTCACTCCTGCAAAGTTGAGGAGCACCAACTTCTGTGCCCGATGATGAGGGTTCCGTGCCTCAACAGCGGCTACGGCTGCCCAGCCACCCTGATCCGCAACCAGATGTCTGCACACTTGGACATGTGCCCGGCTGGAGTTGTCTGCTGCACAATGGAGTGGAACAGATGTCCCGTTAGCTGCTTGGACTATACTTCTTATGAGAGCCTAAGTCGTGTGGTGGAGGAGGTGGAGCAACTGGACATGGCACTTGCTCTTCAGGACCAGCGTACACTCGTCAAGTCTCATGAAGTGTTTGCCATGGCACTTTCTGCACTAGAAGAGCCTCTTGTCCGTCTTCGTAAAGAGAACAATGAGAAACACTCACCTTTGCATCCATCTGATTCAGAGGCATCAACTTCTTTTGGATCATCCTCACCCACACAACCACCAGGACCAACTTCAAGAGACTTGGCAAAAACAAAAATCCTCAGGGGCATTAATGGCTTGAATAAGGAACGCTTCAGTAAACCGTATGAAGCCACAATAGAGACAGCAAGAAGTTTAGCTGCGGCGTTAGACTTTGTTAGTGGCAACGGTGGTGAAAGCTCCTCCGAGTGTTTGGATAGCAGAGATGTTCTTTTAAAGTCGAGTTTGAGCAGCGATGAAGGGATTTACAATGGGCTTGAGGGCACAACACCTGAAGGTGATGAGAGTTTGCCCCAAAGAGACATTCAAGAGTTAAATACTTGTTCCAGCTGTTTGAATGAAAATGGAGCTGCAGGAGCTAATGTAACGATTAAAAACACGCCCAGTGAACTGTTGTCAGCAGCAGCTGAGGCCTTTCTGGAGACAGCCTGTAGACCTGAGGTCCAAGAAAACAACACTGATGTTCCTGAAAGTGCTACTCCTCAGATGTTATCTCCAGTCCATGCTAGTCCTGCTGTGGCACAGCTGGCGAGTCACATAGCGCTGGAAGATGGAGCGTTGGTTCCTCTAGAAGAACGGTTCAACACCGACCACCAGCTGTATTCATTATCCAATGGAGGGATCATTCCACACAAGTCACAATATAAACCAGGAGTCACAGTGGAGGACAAGGCAGTGGATACTTCAGATCTGGAGCAGGGGGGCGACCCCATGGGTCTAGGAGGGCTTGATCTGATCACAGCAGCCCTACTCCTCTGTCTAGCGTCCACAGAGTGCAGAAGGACCTCTGACATGGTCTACGGCGATGGTTATCGTGTTGATTTTGGCACACAGACGATCACTTTTCCTGCTGCGATATTGGTTACCAACACAAGAGTGGGCGACATGGCCTCTGCTTCAGCCTGTGACCACGCTGGGTCGCAGCTGGCTTACCCCAGCCCATTCCGTGCGCTCCTCCTCAACCTGGTCCCCGAGGCTCTGAAGTTCGAGGTGGCCCCTTGTATCCCGTTTAACCTCGGCTACAAGCACACAATCCCCTTCATCTGTAGTCAGCCATTCCGCCGAGACCAGTTTTCTTCCCATTTCAGAAACGTCCATGGTGACATTCACGCTGGTCTTAATGGCTGGATGGAGCACCGCTGCCCCCTCGCGTATTATGGCTGTACGTTCTCCCAGCGAAGGTTTTACCCGACAACCCGCGGAGCCAGAGTGGTTCATGACGGGCACCTCAAGTCATTTGGAGTTCAGCCTTGCCCAAAGCTGGATTTCCCAAGTGACTGGGAGTCTGACCAGCTTAGTGGGCTGCCCATTGAGGTACTGTGGCACATCGCTGGATTCCTGGATAGTTTTAGCTTGTGCCAGCTGTCACTGGTTTCACGGAGGATGAGGGAGGTGTGTGCCAGCCTCCTTCAGACAAGGGGCATTGTAGAGCTGCAGTGGAAGCCAAGACTAGGTCTACGAGGTCCACGCACTGTATCATGGCAGATCCAAAACAAAGTATGTTTTTAAACTATCCCTTTTATATTTTAATTTAGTCAAACATTAAATAATCCCACACTACTACGTGTTCTTTGCTACTGTTGCAGGTGTGGAGGTTCAGCACTGCCTTCAGCCCTGTGACCTCGTGGGGTTTCACTGATATTCCCAGCATGTCCGTTCATCTTAAGAAGTGCCATTTCTACGTAGCCGAGCACAAGACGGTGCCCGTGCCCCTTCCGGCCATGTGCTCCGGACGAGACAGACTCTACTTCCATCGTGTCTTGCGTCACGTCAACACCTGACCAAATGAGACCAAGCTGCACTCGATCCGCCGTGGCGTTGTGTGAATGTTGCTATTAAGAGGTTTGTTTTGGAGTAAATCAACGCTACTCGTCACGGCGCCTTAACAAAAGAACACTTGTCAGGTTTGATCTTGTATTTTTCCTTTGGGAGAGGGAGGGATTTGGCTTTGCATGGACTTCTTATTCTGGTAAGAAGTATATTTTGACAAAAACAGATGGACACACTAGATTTTTATTATCCTCAAGGATCTATTAAAGTTCAAATGCAATATTTTGCCTTTTTACTTATTAAACAAACAGATTGTTGACTAATCACAATAAATCTGTGGATTAGAAATGACAGCACTTTAAATGGATTTTATTCATTTTCCAAACTGATGAGTGAATCTGACCCAACCCAGGGTTCAGTCCAGAGCAGATCTTGTGTTTAGGTTTATCTGATGTTGGAGTAGGAGTCGTAAAGGTTTGAAAATGTATGCAGTTTACTGCAATTAAATAAAGTCCTCACATCTTTTATATATTTTCCTTAAGTGAAAATAACTTTAATACACTCTACAGTTTTCTCTAAATCTTTTGTTTTGTTTACAAATTTTTATTTTATAAAAAGTGTATTTCAAAAATAAAAGCACAGCCCTGAACCTAACCTATAAGGAAGTACCAGGGAACACGATCGTTTCTGCTCGTCTTTCCCGTTTCTCCTAAATCGACACACTGTTCTCTATCTCATCAGGGCTCAGATACGTGTAGGGAACTTTCAGCCGAGTATTTCTTGCTTTAATTTCTTCTTTCAAGTAGGACAACTCTGCTTGAAATTCCTTAATCATCCGCTTGGGGTCAGACTCATCGAAGAGCTCTTCAGGGTATTCACCCAAAGGAACCTGGAGTCACAGCAAAGGCATGAAGTCAAGCTGGTGCAGTGCTTCGTCTCGGCTGCATTTAAAGCTCTCGTCTTTCTCGACTCACCTTGTCTGTGTATTTGGATGAGAGAACAAAAGCAGAGGCTGCAAAATTGACCGTCTCTCCTTCATTTGGGAGAGCCTCCAGAAATGTCCCCATGCTCGACAGGCCCTTGATGGTCGGAGGAGATGTGTGCAGCAGGAGAGAGCCATTGGGTGTCCAGCCGTGGTAGTCGAACTGGAATTTAAAGTGCAGCAGCAGGCAATTGTAAAGAGCAAGATACTACATAAAAAATGTTTATCAGCTTCACAAATTAAGAAAAATTGACTTCTAATTTAAAGAAAAGACTAAATGTTTATAAAACCTCAAATGTTTGTTAAATTATATTTCAAATCTGGGCTTATTTCGAACAAATCAATCACTTTTGCCCCACCTGTCCGTTGTTGACCGCAGCGTGTTGGACTGACACGATGAAGATCACCATGGTGATGAACTTGATCACTTCAGCCACGGTACCGAAGCTCGCCGGGAAACCTATCAAGAGCAACATCGAGTTGACAATTAAACATGTCAAGTGTAACTTGACTTTTAAAGCACATTTTTACAGCAACAGCAGTTGTCCCGAAGTGCTGCTCAGAACAGAAACAAGCAATGACATTCTTGAGACTACAAATACAAAAAACAGGCCAAAATATAATAAAACTTGTAAACTACTGGATGTCACTAAATGCCAGAGAAAACAAATGTGTTTTCAAAGCCACTTTAAACAGGGCAGTAGTCTCAGCTGTCCTCACCTCTAAAGCAGCTACCCCCCTGCCTGTGTCCAAGTCGAGCCAGGACCCCCAACCACATTCGACCCACATTAAAAGTGATTAAATGTATGTGGCACTTTGATTATACAGTTGGGTTTGTTACTGGTGTTTTATAAATGTAATTATTACAAATACAATATTGTAAACCTCACAACCTCAGCACAGACAAAATTGAGGGGACCCCCTTGGGGGGTCACAGCCCCAGGTTGGGAACCACTGCCCTAAAGGGAACCTATTTTACAGTGAAGAGGGCCATTACAGAGAAAGCTCTACGTAACTATCAGAGGGCCGCAGAGAACACACATGGTTTCAGAATTTTTTATCTTCTGTAGGGGCGGGGACAGTTTCTACAGAAAATCTTTTTACTATTAAAATAATCAAATGAAAAATAATTTAGCTTATTGTCCCATCTGTTTTCTCCTTTCTTGTATTAACCCTCTGGCATCCAGGGTGTAAATCACCGTTTTTGACTCCTTTTGGTTTTTCTTTTGTATTTTCTAATAAAAACAATAAATTTTGCCTTATGGGGTATCATTTTTTTCAGGACAACCTGGACTATCTGAATTTATACTTATTTTATTAATTTGGCAATAATGTACGTGCATTTGGAGTGGGGAGTGGCTCTGTCTCACTCCGAGACAGCTGCACGGCGCCGCCCACTCCTCTTGTTGGTTCTCCGAGGAGCTGCATCTCTGCCTTCATCCTCTACCTCGTCATGACCCAACTCTTCTATGAGGAAGGATGGATCTGCGTCATCGTCTTCAACATCCTCGCTATTTGCCTCAGACTCCGGCTGTGAGTCTCCGTCCACTTCCGCTGCTTCCAGTTCAAAAAACAGCCGTACTATCTGAACCGCCTGGTGGACATTTATCCTTCTCATCATCCTTTATATAAGCCTAACAAAAGCCTCAGATATGTGAGACTTCCACCAACAGCAAAAGGATCTCATGTTTTAGTGGGTTTTTATGTTCACAAGCACATTCCCTCTTACGGATTACTAAACTGCTGTTTTGACAAGTTGTCAGGTTGTCTAAAAATAGGTCGTTTTTTAGTTTAGTTTAACTCCGCTTTTACGTTGCCTATTAACACAATGTAAAAATTGGGGTGTAGTTTATAATCTCCTTTCTAAAGCTGAATTGAAACCGAAACTCAGGGAGGCGGAGTCTTGCTGCTACAGCGTCCCAAATCAGACCTGTTCAAAAGACGCGGATACGCGTCCATGGACCCCAGAGGGTTAAAAAAACATGCAGAATAGACTGGCTGGACAGCAGAGAAAGGTCGGAGGGGTGGGGGGCTCCACATTTCTAAAAGAGGCCATTGCCCCCCTGACTCCTCCTTGGTGCCGCCTCTGGTAGAGAATCAATATTTGGGGAAATGTCACTTATTCTTTTGCAGCAATGCCGTATTTTGGAAACATTTATTATAAAACACTTTTTTTTTACCTGCGAGTTTGTTTTCTAAGAATCCATGTGTGAATATTTCATGAATCCACTCCTGCAGCTCCGTGTCATCACACACAACACTGTCTGAGGGATAGAAGTACTCCACCATACTCTTCACATAACTGATAGAAGATAAAATATGTTTAAATTACATTCTTAAATCAGATTTTTTTGTAAAATTGAATTATGACCTGTTTATGTGGCTCCACAGCTTCAAACCATCGTCTCTGTAGTAGAAGTCAGGGACAGAGTTGAGTCCTCGTGCTTTGATGTTCTCAGGCAGGCAGAGGGAGCTGTAGGTCATGTCAGACTGAGCTCTTCTCATGAGCTCCATCAGTCCGTCCACTCCACATGAACTCTATTGGTCATTAGATTACATATTTTAGTTTTTAAATAATCAAGTTTTATCTATGGAATTCAGAAAATTCAATTTAGCTCCATGAGAGGTTTCTTACCTGACTCATGGCCCCACCGGGTCCAAGGAGGAACTCGCGAGCCAATATGTTAATGTGCAGAGTGTAACGGAAATGAGGGAACAGCAGCTATACCGGAGAATTCAAGGTTAGGTCACATTCAAGGAAAAATGGCTGACATTTGAATGGTTGACGGGCTTTGTCGTGGCAGGTCATACCTTGTAGAGAGGATGGATTGAGGGGAAACAGCGTAGAGTAGCGACAGTGAAGACTTCTGCCAGATAGTGAGTCTTCATGAGGTGATAGACGGCCTGATACAACACCAGATCCGAGCTGTTGAAAAACAGCTTGGCCAGAACCCAGTCTGTCAGCGGGTCATCCGGCAGAAAGATGGGATTCTGTTCGGAATGTTGTTGACGCAGCTGGAACAAAAACATGGTAGAAATGTGGAAGGAAGGTGCACAGGCATTTCTACAACCTCAGCTGCACTCATTGTCCTTCTGCACCATATAGGCAGTGGCGCCTCCAAGGGGTGGCCAAGGGTGAGAAAATTTGCAAGAAATCAAGTCTAAAAGTGCGTGCTTAAAGGAAATCACCCGTTCTCACCAACGGCCTTTAGTTGGAAATCGTTTTTTGGAAGTTTAAAGGCCGTGACAGCCAACCTTAGAAAATTGCTGGCCACCCCACTGTCCATACCCTGGGAAGACCCGTGTATTTATTGCATGACTTCAGGCTACACTTTCCCAAAGTTACCAATTAAATTACAATTAAATTGGCGTGTCACCCCAAAAATGTTCTCTGGCCCCATGTATGGTTACCCGTATGAAACTTTTCTGGGGGCACCACGTCAAACAGGGAGTCAAAAAATATATTAAGTCATTCGTTGCCAGCTGTTTCCTGATCAGAAAAGCCCTTCACTGCCAGCGTTTCTCACCTTTTTTACAGTTTTTTTTAATGAGTCGCAGAACGTTACGCGCTAGGATGATGTCGACGTCAAAACAAACCGGAGATTCACCTCTTACATCAGGAAGAATCCGCGCGTTTCAAGCGTTATCTGTTCTTTCATAATCCATTGTTGAATTGTGATCGGCAGAAGCTTTTCCGGTTCGCGCCTCACTTTTTTGAGTAAGGTCTAGCTGCAGACGCAGCCGGTATTATTGACCTTTTTTTACAGCAGCGGCCCAAAACGATCTCCGAACACATGGACGTTCTGCTTCCTGATCACGTGACGTGTGACGTATGCAGATGAAGAACGGCTTCAGAGCTGAGATGTTTGTTCTAACGGTGCGGGGGCTCGTTCCGATGCCCACACAGTAAAAAAAATGCCAATGACTTTAGTTGTCATTGGCAGTGAATGAGTTAAGTTCATATAGGAAGTGCAAAACTGAGTCTCTGTAGAATACCTGTATTGCAAGAGGCACCAGTTTCTTGTCGGGATTCATGTAGAACAAGCAAAAACCAGAGCTTATGAAACAAGCCCTTCCATCGTCCATCCTGGTTGGTATTCCATCCATTATCTTCTGGTCTACCAGGAAGATGTTGCCCTTCTGTAAGGCTCATAAACACAAAGACTTGGAGGGAAATGTAGTGACAGCTGTAGAAATGCTGCTCGTCCTTCTGATAGCTCATGAATCCCAAACAAATACACCCCCATTTAAAAGCTCTTTCATGTCAAACCTCCATTTCCATCTCCAGGGTGCTTCCACGTGGGAGAAAATCCCTCACCATCTCCTCCACAGGGAAGTTTGAGGGGAGTTTTTTGCAGAGTTTGATCACGTTGGGGTTTGGCCCATTCAGGTACTGGAATCCGAAAAAGTCATCTTCGTCCCAGTGCTTCGAAACATACTCTGATAGGTAGAATCAGGGGAAATTTCTTTTATTTATTTATTTATTTTCCAAATTAAACCTTCAGACAAGAAATGGTTCAGAAACTAAGTTTTCATAGAATCAATTTTGATGATATATCAGTGGCAAAAATCACATTTTATATGATAAAATAAATAAATAACAGAAATGCTGACTTATTTATACCTGACATGGTTGTCTTTTTGGTTTGGAAGAACTTTTTCATGTCCTTGAGGTTCTTCCATTGCTTTTTGGACCCAACTAGCCTCTTGAACATCAGTTCATAACCACTGAAGTTAAGAAGCAAAGACAGATGAGTAAAACACATGAAGACTGACTGGAATGCATCAATAAAGTGTTCAATGGGCTCACATGATCCTTTTCTTGAAGGACATCTCTTCTGATTTAGACGCAGAGAAGCGGATCTCTGCTGGGAGCTCAGATATAGCTCTGAACTGGCTGAGCTGTAGCAGCTTGCCATCCCCCATCTCCCATCTAAACCATAAACCAACAAGCCGGTCTGCAAAATTTGTTCAGATTTGAAACTGGGAGAAACAGCAAAAACAGCTTACTGGTACAAGCTCTTTCTAAGTCTGAGTTCATCTTCTCGGTGCTCGATCTGCAGAGGATGCACATCCTCAAATACCTTCATGGCTTTGAGGTGGAGAAACAGCATTTAAACTCATTGATAGCTGTAAAAAAGTTATTAATGGAATGTAATTAATTCAAGCCAACCTTTTCCTCCTCTTAGCTCCACCTTTTCTCCCCTAGAAATCCACCTGTAGCAGGGGAAAACTACTTCTTCTCCGTTCTGAGTCGTCACCACTATTCTGGAACAGAACCACTCGTCCTCTGGGAGGCCGAAGCGAGGATCTTTCTCCACCTTGACTATGAGAAGCTTCCCCAGAGAGGACTTTGTTTTGACTGAGTAGGTCCTCGTCTGGGAATCAAACAAACTCAGTGTGTTTGTTAAATTTCTGTTAAAAAACTATTTAAAGGAGACGTGACTGTTTTTTAAGTCATGCTAGCTCTATACAAAACATGTTAAAGTTTTTATTAACAAAATTCCCATTACATAAAGCAGTTTCAGTATCTTTAGTCCTGAAATTTTCAGTACCTTCCAGAATGAGCTGTTTTGGGGCTCTGTCACTTTAAGAAAACAAGTAGCTGGCCACGCCCACTCGTTCCCCAATAGGCTGGGCATTGTTCCATAATTTTAGTAGGCTGACCAGTTAGCACACATAAAAATGAGAAATTACGGATCACATTCCTGCTTTCAGCAGCATCATAGTTAAAGCACCGTTTCACATCCAGATATTTTCTAATCAGAGTCTGCTTAGTTTGTATCCTATTTGCACCCACATGTGTCTTTAAACGCTAATTTAAAAGCACATAAATCTAAACACCACATTGATTGCAGGACAAACTAACTCCTGAGCCAAGCTAGTTAATGTTGAACTGTGATAGAAATGTAAGAGTAATTATTTAAAAGTCCTTACTTGTCTTTCATCTGTTGACTTAGAGTTGTGGTTGACTGAAAAAACAGTTTTTAACAATTATTTCTGATTACAATCGGTTACTCTGAGTTTTTTATGCAGGCTGAACATGAAAATGGTCTCCTACATTTATCTCCTGCATTCGCTTCTGATAGAAAATAGACGGTGAAACTCTAGGATTTGAAAATCCTGACAGATCTACATCACACTGTGAATTGGACTTACCCATTTTGACTCATAACAGAGAAGGCTGTTGTTGTTTTGGTGTCCAGAATCATCAGGGAACATCTCTTTTCAACAGAAGCTAACTGCTAGCATTAGCAACTCAAACACACGGCTGACGCTCCTCCAGGCTTGTTATTAGTGCAGATGAAACATCTATGTCCCCGAGCAAACAGAGTTAGTGGTAGTAACGTTGCTTTTATCCAATCCGAGGTAAGATGTCTAAATATCGGGAAGTAAGACAGCAAAACAGATCGAGAGACTGTTTGTGTGATATGTTTGTCAGCCATCGGATAAGATAAATACTCCGGAAAGAGACTTCAACTTTAACGAGAAAGTCAGCGCCCTACCAGAGGTTTCAAAGATTCACTGTCAGAGAAATAAGCTGCTAACAACCACACACACTCTCACATACCCTACACAGATGGACAAACAGCAGCACGCTTCCTAGTCTGGAGGATTTCTCTCCACACCTTCTTTACCAGAGGACAGAGAGAGGAAGGTTTTTTTTTGGAGGAGGTGGGCGGCCCTGAGCCGTTTCGTTTTGCATCAGTTTGTGAGTGGCTGAGCCACCCGGAGGCTGCCAAGACTCGGGTGCTATTAAACCCCATAGCAGCAGTGCAGCCGACATCACACTGTACTGACGATGTCACGGTGTACGGTTTCAGCCAATAGCGATGGCTGATTTAAATGTAGTGCAGACGCCTGATTTAAGGAGTGCAACACTGATGGTTTCAGGCAAGAGATTTCTATTTTAAATAAGACTAAATTAAATGGTAAATGAATGTTTACACATGACTACAGCACTCTTAGACACTCATTTATACAGTTTATCAGCAAAATATAGTTGATTTGGAGGCCACTTGCTCTTTAAGTAGTAGTATTAGCAATAGCTTTGCTCCGCATCACATTGCACCCTCATCCTTTCATTCATTCATTGCTTATCTGGAGTCGGATCGCGGGGGGTAGCAGAGAAGCCCAAACTTATCCCCCCCATCCTGCTTTAAGGGAATCCTTACTGATGTTACGACCATGTTTGGTGTTTAAAATGAAGGGCGTGTCGTAACACCTGGGGATGCCTAAGGCCGTGTTTCCCAACCCTGGTCCCCGGGTCACACTGACCTGCATGTTTTACATTTCTCTGCTTCAGCACACATGATTTACATTGCCTCAGGTGCTTCAGATGCCTGTTAATCACTCATTCTTTTAAGTCAGGCGTGTGGCAGCAGTGAAACACTGGCCAGGCCAGCTGAGAAACAGTTCCTCCAGCATACCTTACTTCTTAACCGTTTTTACAAAACAATGCTGACAATTTTCTGCAACGCCATGACAGCATTAGGAAGTCTTAAGTCGTTTAGGGGTCAGACCGTGGCGGTACAATAGCACAGTCATGTCCTTTTTATAAAACATTAGGCGATGGTGGCATAAAGAGGTATGGGGCCGGGACTTCCATTTATCTTGGGCATAACTTGCTTTTTATTGTGATTGAAGCTGCAATCGTTATGTTTTTTTCAAAGGTATCTGTCCCCCACAGTGCCCGCCAGCCGGAGCTCAGCATTAACTTCCTGCATCATCTTGACTCCTCCCTCCGATGTGCCAAGGTGCAATAGCCGTTTATGAGACAGAGAATTACAGCAATATTACTACCAAGCGAGGCAAAACAAATGCCACTAAATTTGCACAACGGCATGCTGGCATGGCACGTTTATAAGACACACCGCTGCCGTAATATTACGCCAATTTGCCAGCACAGTGTGTCTTGTAAAAATGGCTTCTTTATCGTTAAACAGAAATGTCAAATCCTCAACAGTTTTGGTGGGTGAGGACTTGGCAGGTGAGGGCTCCCGTATGCTAATTTTTCCATCTGTGATGTCACAACCGGGGACTTCGTGAAATGGCTTGTTTTAGACACATATTTTCTAAAACTGACAGAAAAGAGATTGATTTATTTTTTCATGTTGTGAGTGCTACAGTAGAGACACACATGGCAACATAAAAGGATGCAGGATGTCAGATTTTCATGTCCTCTTTAAATAGTATTCTAAAACTGTGCATGGCAGATGTAAAATGAAAGAAAAGCCTGAAGGATTTCAGGTTTTATGCGAACCGGATTGGCGTGAAAGGTTAAAATTAGATTAAATGGTGATTCCACTGACCTGTGTCTTAATTTTTTTTATCTGAGCTACTGTAAATGTGCAATAGAATAATTATATTTCCCACACTTAAAAAATGAGTACATATCATTGAAATCTAATCACTTCAAAATTGAGCTAAAATATTGAACTGAAGGAAACATTTGAAACACAGATATGTTATTTGCGGGAGTCCATCTAAAGACTGTTAATCAGACTAAAATGGAAAAAATGTTTAAATAATAACTACAATACCATTGTTGTTATGGTACATGGACGTAATTTGGGGGGGGGGGACATGTCCCCCCCCCCCACTTTTTCCAAAGTCAAGTTTTGACCCCTGCACTTTTTACCATCCAAAATCAATATTACGCTATATGAAATTGACACTGGTTGAGCTCTAGGACCAAGCAGAAAACAACCATTTGTGTTGAAGCCTGTTTCCCATGAGAACATACTGTAAAGATACTCCCCCCAGCCCCTGTGTCCCCCCCACTCGTAAAGTGAAAGTTACGTCCATGTTATGGTTTGTACTTTTAAAAATATTTTGAGGCTCTACATGATCTTAATCTGAAATAACTGAAATGTTAATATTTATCTATTAGGATGCATTGATGAGGAAAGTAACATAAAAAAACTTCCAGATAAAAATCTCACACTTTTAGGATTCTGCTTGTAGTTTAGAATAATTTTCAGTCAGAGTTTGAACAGTTTTGTAGTTTTAGAACTTGTTTAAATATTGTTACGTTGACCTTTTTCATCCCTTTCTGTGGAATCGCCCTTGAATCAAACACACCAAATCATAACTTCATCCCAGGCTGCACTCCGACTTGCCTTCCCAGATTGGAAGTGGATCATAAGGTTGTCCAGCTTGGTGCGCTCGCTCTTCCCCTCGGTTCCACATAAAATGACATAAAGGTGATCCATTGTTCCTGCGTACTTCATGTCACCCGTTGTCACCTTCAGTGTGTATTCAGCCATTTTTACCCTATAGAAACTGTGCAGAAAAATGAAAACTACACAATTAATTTTGCTGTGTGTGAAGGTGTGTCCTCTCTGTCAAGCAGAAAGAAATAAACTGTTTTTTAGTACTTTCATCAAGGATTATCAGACTCACCTCAGCTGTAGTAGAACCTCCTGCCTTAAAGCCAGAATGTGACAGTGATACCTCTTCTCAGAGCACAAACAGCACGAAAGAATGCGGCGGGGGTTGACGCATTTGACCTGCTGTCAGGCTGGTTTAACCGTAACAAGGTAAACAAAGATGTTTTACACTTGGGGGTTTCATGTCTTAAGAGTTTTTACAGGTTGATGGATCTGAACCCTCCATCATTGGTAAGATACCAAGTATTTATCATCACTTCAAAATCAATGTGCACAATTTTACATTTGTAAAGCATGACAACAGACGGCAGACAAATGCAGTAAATGCGTTCTGCTCCAGTTGGCTGGTTCTGCAGAAGGTGGGCTCTTTTTGGTCTGAAGTTTGCACGGCTCCTGCCTGCCTGCATGGTTTCCCTTGTGCACATGCACAGAGAGGGGATTGTTAAACTAATAACAACTGTTGTTGAAACTCCAACCTACTAGGATTTGTTTTGCAGATTTATCAAATAAAGAATTTATTAAATACGTTGCTCTGAGTTCTAGAATATTGACTAAAGGAGCAATCTTTCCAAGTTTATTATTTTATCAGTAAAAAATACTTTCAACAGAATCTGCAAGTACTTTGCGAACTTTCTTCAACAACTTTTTATTTGGATAAATTTACAAAAAATATCAGCTATCCTATTTGTCTTTCTTCCAGAAATATAAAAATAGGCATTTTACACCTACAAGATAAAAATCTTGTAACATTTTAGTGCATATTTAAAAAAAATGTTTTTGGTTTTTCCCCTACTTGCTCTTTTTCAAGCTTTAGCAGGAAACAAAGCCCCTCTTTTCCTTTCCTCCCTTCATCTTGCGCCCCCCCCCCCCCCCCCATTTTATTTTTATAGTTAAGTAATCATGTAATGTTGATCAAAACTATTATTAGGGCCCTATTCCGCAGTCTGAGCAATAACTACAGAGTTGGCCAGCAGAGGGCGCCCGGTGCCTTGTGCAGCAGTAGCTGATGCTCCCGCAGAAGAAGTCAGAACTAGTGAGGGAGCAGGCAGCGCACCGAGTAGCTCCGATTAACTTTGTTGTACTGTTTCTGCAGATTGCTGCATCAATAAAAGTGTTGTACGGGAGATGAGTTGGCCCATCATTTCAACAGTGTAACTTACACGCATAATCACAACTATAGGCCTCTGCAAATCTAAAGTTGCTTTCTCCATTTAAATTAAATCAACTCAGAGAAACTTTGAACCAAGCTAAAGCAAGATCTTAAAACTGGGTGATGCGTTTTATGGAAACAGGTGGGTAATTTGATAATTACAAGTCAGAACGGTAAATAAAACAAAACTGAACATCCAGGATGAACAAGTTTTTTCTCAACAATTGGCCCTTTCCTGAGGGAAATGTTTGGAAAATTGGCAGATTTCCTTTATTCTTGCTGTCAGATTTCTCATACAAAATAACCTGATTATAATTTCTCTGCTTTCACTTTTTACTGTTTTATCAGCCTTGTTACTCTACAGGCCCACAGCATGATACTGCCATCACCATGCCTTACTGAAGAAACCTCAGAATGTAGTTTAACCAAGAGGATACAATTTAGATATTTTTCTAGATGTCCTAGAGAGCTTTTTTCCCCTGGTTTGTTCATATATATGATGCAAAAATAAATACAATGTTATTTTGAAATTATTTTTAAATGATTTAACATGTATCAATTACATTCATTTTATATTTTTACACACATTTTTTTAGGGATGTGAATCTTGGAGCAACTCACGATTTGATTCGATTCCGATTCTCGGGGTGCCGATTCGATTCAGAATCGATTCTCAATTTAAATCGATTCACAATCAGAATTAACAAAGGGTGTCAGCTCCAGGATTAACTACTTTGTTGTACAAGTTAGTTAAAGCTATGGGACAGTTTTATTTGACTTTAAACTGGTCATGCTCCAAAAATGCTAATTTACAAGGTAAAATAAAGTGATTCTAAAACTGTAAACAGAAGCAATCTTTTGACCAAAAGGCAACATTTATTTTTGCTTACCTTGTAAAATATAACAAATCTGTAGTTACCTAACAGTAGCTTTGAAAGTAATACGGTCAAATACTTTTCAAGCATGTGTAGAAACAAGTTACATGAGTAACCTGAGTACTCATTTATCAACTTAGAAAATAAATATGAGAATATCTCAAATTTCATATGGAAAAAATTACATTCAAGTGCCCTCTTATCAGCAGATTCAAACAAACAAACAAACAAACAAACAAAGATCAAAAAAGTGCATCTCAAACCTGTAACATGCCAAATATTTGAGTCCTTGGAATCGATTCTGAACCTTTGTGAATCGATTCTGAATCTTTATAAGAATCCCGATTCAGACTTGAAACGATTTTTTTCAGCATCTCTACATTTTTATGTATAAATTTTTTACAGATTAGTTTCAAATTTAACTTTTTAAACAGATGAGACTCAGGGTCACGCTTCACTGCGGGTTGTATAACTGAGGACGTGACAAAAAAAACCTTTTGAACCTGAATAATGACGGATGAGGCCACTAACAGATATTTTTGTTACGATTTTGTAGTTTTCTGCTGTAATTTATTTTTATTTTCACTTTATCTGCTTCATTTATGTTCAATTAACGCAGAACGCAGAGCTAGTGTATTAATTTGCACTGTAATTACAAATATCACGTGACTTCTTTGTGGCACCCCGTTATTCTGACGGAGTGAGACCTCCTTCTCAGCTACAAGTCTTGGGTACCAAAATAAGACCCTTGTTTATTTTTAGACAACACAAAATCCCGCGAGAATTTCGGGAAAATAAATTATCACGACGCTAATGTTTAGGTAAATATAGCATGATGCTTTTAAGGTTCGGAGTCGTCCTCACTCCGCAGTTCTCGGATTTAGAGGTTTATGTTTTGGGTTCCCGAGAGGAAATGGGCCACTGGGACCCGAACAGAGCGGTTCGGATGACAGCGTCACAGAAGCTGCTGTCACCGGACGAGCCGTGTCTGTGGATCGGCGAAGTGCAGCTGGAGGAGCCGTTTAAAGACACGCTGTGGTTCAAGTTTATCCAAAGAGTCAAAGACTGCTACATCTGGGAAGGTATTCAGCTCGAATTGATCCTGCATGACCTTCAATTGACTTAATAAAATATGATTTAGAGAGAAAACAAGTCTGTCACGTTTGGTTTCTTTGATGTAATACACACGGGCTGCCACACGGTGGCGACAGAATTACGTCCTTAAAAGGCGAGGCAACCATTCTTCAAAATAAAATGTCCCAAGAAAAGAAACTGCCTCAAAATTAAAGTGTTATATGTGGTTTGTAGTCTAATGTCATGCTTTATTTATTTTTTCACAACTATGGAAAATAATTTTAGACAATACAGTTTCTACAAGTAACATTTTACACAGATTATTTTGTCTAATTGAAGTTATAAATACCACCTTACCTGTTGTGTTTCAGTCTTTAGCAAAAGATTGATGTGCTAACAGCTAGTCCAGGCACATGCACTCGTTTGTTTCCTTTCATCCTCTAGGATTGGGTTCTGGAACTATCAGGTGGAAGTCCAGACATCCCTTTCCACAATAACACTTTCCAGCTCCAGCATTCTAGTCTAAACCATTCCTTCAGTGGGAATTTCCTGATTTACAACGTCTGATTTTGTTCTGCTGGTCATCAGGCAATGGTCCAAGCCATGACAGGTGTTGTTCTTATGACGAGAGGAATGTGGTGGATGGAGTCTACTGCCACCCCATTGGTCACTGGATAGAAGCCACAGGACACACAGACGAGATGAGACACACCACCAACTTTTACTTCAAGGTGGCGGGTCTGAAGGCCATGCATTTCTCAAGGTATCAATAAATGTGTAATATAGCAATTTTTCTTGCTTGGATTTCTGCTTTGCTCTGATCCCAAGTCAGTTCCTCCTCTGTATGTCATGACCCGTTCGGCCTCTCTTAATGCAAGCCGTTAAGTTAACTCATAACTTGTTGGTCCCAGGTTTTTCTCCAGAGCATCGACTTCCACATCCAGAAGGTTGAAATTCAGCTCATAAGTCACTTTGATCTCAAATCCAACAACATATTTCCTGCTTCTGTTAATTCTGCTTTGCAGATTTTGTAAATGCATTCCTTCTGTTAGGACACTACACAAGCATGCTCATGTCCATCTTCTGGTGAGGTCTTCATTCAGGTTTATCGGCCTACCCGTGCATGTGCTAGTGTAGCAGTCTCGGCAGAAATGAGCCCCCTCCATCCCTGAAGCTGCAAGTGCATAACTTGCATGAGAATGAGCTGGCTCGGCTGGAACCATCAGGTTTTAATTTGTGTCCAAAAGACCTTACAAGGTTTATGTCAAGGGCTCGTGTTCGCTAGGAAGCACAAATGCCTTTGTTACTCGCCCGTTAATGGCTTTGCAAATGAGTCTCTCAAACTGTGCATCAGTGTTGCCCTGATTGTGTCTCACACACACACACACACACACACACACACACACACACACACACACACACACACACACACACACACACACACACACACACACACACACACACACACACACACACACACACACACTCACACACACTTCAGTAATTATTTATGGCTTTTTCATATAATTACAGGTAACTTTGCTTAACTGGGAAAAGGAAGGTCTGATGTTATGCACTAGGTGAGTTTGATCTGTTTCAGAATGCAAAAAAAAAAAAGTCTAAAGTCAAAGAAAACAAGACACAAATGTGTTTGGATGGAGTTACGGTTGGGGTTAGGTTCACCTGCATGTCCACACCAGAGATTGTGACCATGGCACCATTAGAGGATGTTGTGTCTCTGCAGTGTCCTTCTTTTGTTTTACGTGCCACTTCCTCCGGTGGTTGACTTCATGCATGCTAATGAGCACTTAGTGGACAGGAGGACAATTAGACGGTGAGATGGAGACAGAACAAACAGGTGGGACTTTTTTTTTGGCTCATTAGTAACTTGTTAAAGTTGGACGGGTTTCACGGTTTTCCTCAGGACTTACTGGAAAGTCTTTCATGTGGTTAATAATTAAGTTTCTGCACTTTGTATTCTCTCTCCATTAAATTCCCCCTCCAACTACTGTCTGTTATTCTTTGAAAACTTAAATCTCTACTTCCACAAACACGAGGTCTCATGTTTGATGTTTTACTAAAGTCCGCAGCAGGACCGTCCACCTGGAGAACGGTGAAGACATTGTGTAATTTAAAGGCATTCTATGCTACTTCTTCATATTTTTTAATCATTTTCTTGAGCCAGCATACGCTAAAACAACCCTTCACAGGCAAGAATACCACACTTGCAATTTCAGAGTGCCGGCCCGGTCCCTGTTGGACTTAATATAAGTGCAGCCTACATGCCTGGTGCTGCAGTCTGCTTCCAGCAGGTTTCCTGCATGTTTTAGATCATGAACACAGCTGATTTGTTTAATTTAATGATGAATCACTTCCGTAGACACTAATGTAGGCTGGGGAGACATTTCAGCAGTTAGATTATGGTGTTAAAAGCACAAACGCACAGCAAGGAGATAAGTTTCACTTTTGCCTTCACTAACAGACACTAGGGGGTGCTAAAAGCAAGCTAAAACTGCCTAGTATCCCTTTAAAGCTACTGCTGCTGCTGCCTGGCTATATCCGAGGGGGAAATCTGCTAAACCAGAAATATGCATCTTAAAATTGGACTAATTTCTGCAGAATGTGACTGAAATGCTCCCAACAGTGAACATTCCTGTAGACAACAGGACATTACGAGGAACTGTGGTGAAAACGATGTATTTTTATGACCTGTAGATTTAATAATAAGCACCATTTTCAAGTAGCAACAGGTTGTTTTGTCACATTTCCCCTCACTAGTGGTTGTTTGGGACCTGCTTGGAGACTAGTGATAAATTATCCCCCTCCCCCCACTAGGGTGCTGCCTCGTGTCTGGTTGGGCAGCTGCCCCCGACAGGCGGAGCACGTGATGATAACGATGAATAAAGAGCTTGGCGTCACAGCGGTGATGAACTTCCAGACTGAGTGGGATGTGGTCAACAACTCCAGCGGGTGCAGACGCGACCCCAACGAGGTCATGACTCCCGAGACCATGATGCATCTATACAGAGACAATGGCATCGTGTACGTGTGGATTCCCACAGCCGACATGAGCACAGAGGGTAGGGAGAGTTTAAGTTTACCCTTTAAAAAATGTATTTAAGCATTAAAATATGATTTTGAATATGCACGTGTAAGACAACTGTTCCTATGTGGTATTTAGCCTAAACTGTAAGAAAATGATGCAAAGGACTAAGGAAGAGCTGATTTAATCCACTTTTTAAAAATTATTTATTAAGATTTTTAAAAACCACGGCTGTGCTGTGAACACAGATATCGTTTAATGATTAAATGTTGCGTTTTCCTCTGGAGGTCGGATCCGGATGCTTCCTCAGGCCGTTTTCTTGCTCCACGGTCTCCTGGAGAACGGCCACACGGTTTATGTTCACTGCAATGCCGGAGTGGGCAGATCCACGGCCGCCGTGTGCGGCCTGCTCATGTACGTCCTCGGATGGAGCCTCAGGAAGGTGCAGTACTTCGTCACAGCCAGGAGGGCGGCAGTCTACATAGACGAGGATGCTTTGGTCCAAGCTCAGCAAGACTTCATCGTGAAGTTTGGCCGTCTGCAATCGTCCATCCTTTATGCAGAGACATGAGCGCCAAATGTGCAGCAATGGAAATAAATCATGTTAAAAAATAAGTGGAAAAGGTGCCAGAAACAACATTCACCAAATACTGTTCCACTAAGATGTGATGAGTATGCTGCTAGGATGGATGATTTTAGCTACTTAGCTCGCTGTGATGAGCTCGCTTTTAACATTTAATCCACAGGATTTTAAATTATGGACGCTGCTAGTGAGTTTTAGTGGTGCACCCAGGGGGCTGTATGGAGAGACCTTTGTTTTTTATTTTACCCAATAAACTCTGTTGACATTTGGAACGTTTTAGCTACTGTGAATAAAAAGCAACATGCAAAAAAAAAATGAGAATGCTTTTTTTTACTGAGGTGGAAACGATAAACATTGCAGAAATGCGGATTTGAAAAAGTACTTTTTTCCACGTTAAACAGGTTTTCCAACATTCTGACCTCCTCAGTTGAGGATTTCTCCAACATCGTTTTAAAATCATCCTTTAATGCCAGAGCAGGAAAAAACAAAGAGCAGAACTTTTATGTTACATAACAATGAAGCTCCTCGCAAGGACACTAATCTATTTTTAAATCCAATAAATCAAGAGGGAGTCTATACCTCTCCATCAAAGATGTGTGGCTCAGAGACATCAAGGAATGCAGCGGTATCGTAATTATGTTTCATCTTTTATTTATCTGACAGATGTCGTCTCCTGAATCACCAAACGGCATCATTTCCTGACCACTTTTGCATGCAGAAGCCATTAAGGCTTCGCTGTCTTTAACAATTTGCAACTTTGCCTTTGGATTGTTGGTGAGATGAAACGTTTTTATCAGTCTGACTAAAAAAATAGAAGAGTAGCTTCCTCCAGCTAAAGTCATACTCCATTACTTCTCAGTGACTTCCTGCACTGAATCTCGTTGGTGATGAGTGGGTGGGTAGAGCTGCACATGACTCCAAAAAGAAAATATCTATTTAAAATGTGCTTTTAGGTTGCATTATTTATTTAATCCAAGTGTGAATAATTCTCCCAAATCCTCCAAGTTCAGAAATATCTTCTCTGCAAAGCAAAAACGGTTTATAAATCAACACAAAAGTCACATAATAAGTTATTCAGCACAAGCTGCTTTTATCTTTTTTTAGGAAATCATGGAGTTACAGATGTTTTTGTCCAATTTTGAACAAAATTTGTGGCAAAAATCCTCTGCAATCAAGGTGTGATTGACTCAACTACAATGACGCCAACTTTTAGATCAACATCTGTAAAATTGACTGAGTTTTTGGCCCTTTTTGAATGTAACAATTACCCTAGTTTATTCAAGAGGGTAATTGTCGCCCCCTATTGGTGAAAAACTGTAACTACTATGGTTCTCATTCGGAAGAGATCATTCTAGCCTTTTATTCAGCCAATAAAACCAGAGTTTGCAGCGCTAATGTTTACTACTGTTACATGTCTCTGTGTGTTTATTAAATGTAGCTGGGCATTTATGGATGTTGATTTAATAACTAATAGTTTTGTTACCGAAATGTTTGACTAGAAGTTGCAAACCTATATTAGTCAAATTTTGTAACAAAATACATTTGATGTTACCTAATAATTACTTAATTTATCCCTCTATAGAAGATATAAATTCCCCCTGTTGCCGGCAGAGAGCTTAGGATTGGATATGTTTGTAGCGCTGTAGCTAGCTATTGATACTTCCTGCTTTAGCTTGTTGATTAATTTTGTTTAACACAGACAATTAAATAAAAAATCAAAGACTCAAAGTCATAAATGTATTAAGTTTTAGCAACTACATTGTTTATATAAGTAAAGACATACTTACTTTCCCATTGTCTAGACTAATTGTGCTGTTAGTGCCAATTTAAAAACTGCAGACATTAAATGTGGTGTTTTATTTTGAAAGAATTTACAGGAAGTGCTAATTAGTTATGTCTTGTTTAGCTTTATGCGAGTACTGCAGTAATGACTTACATCCACTAGAGTGCGAATCAATTCTTGCTCTTGAAAGTGACAGTGTGTATTTTCCCTGGCGATAGGGGGCAGTACATACCTAAATCGTTGCAAGCAAACATTAGTTTTGTATGCAAGTAGGCCTTACAACAGATGGCCATTAGGGTCAAAAATCCTTGGGAGTGCAACCTCCAGCAAAATAACAAGAACATCAGAGTCCCTTTCATCACTGGCAACGAAGGAAGAGGTAAACGTGTAAAAGAACAACATATATGAATGGTGAAAGTTTTGTTACCATTTGTTACTAATCAGTAAATGCATTCCGTCCTCACGGGCTTCTGCAGAAGGAAACATGACATCCAATATGGTGCTGCCCAGAGACCAAGGGTGTTTCTCAGTGCCAAGGAACCTTGCCTTGATGTGTTGGACCCGCCCCGGTTGCCTAGGAGATGCGCCATCGGAAGCCATCAAGACGTGTTCCAGTGTTCATGTTCTACCGAGGCGTGTGTTCTCCGTTTGTTAGCCGTTTAGCTAGCTGAGCGAGGATACACGGGAGGTGTCTTGTAGCCTAGCCTTGGCCAAAAATTACCCACAATACACCACGGTATTTTCAAAAGGACGGCGGATCAGAAGACGGCAGCCACTTCGGGGGCAATTTTCAAGTTTGAAAGTAAGTCAGCTACACTGCTCACAAAATTAAAGGAACACTTTGAAGAAACACATTAGATAGATCAGATCTCAATATGAAGTTGGATATCTAGACAAATAACGACAGGGCAATGTCTTAGGAACAAAAGGATGCCAAGTCTTTTAATGGAAATAAAAGTTATCAGCCTACAGAGGGCTCAGTTGTGTAGACACCCTAAAATCGGAGTGAAATGAAGATCTGGCAGGCTAGTCCATTATTTCAAAAACTTAATTCCTGCAACTCAAATTGCTTTTCAGTATCTTGTGTGGCCCCCACAAGCTCGTGTGCATGCTTGACAACGTCGGGGCTCCTAATGAGACAACGGCTGGTGTCTTGTGGCATTTCCTCCCAGATCTGTGTGAGGGCATCCCTGAGCTCTTGTACAGTCTGAGGAGCAACCTGGCCCCACCTAATGGACCGAAACATAATGTCCCACAGATGTTCTATTGGGTTTAAGTCGGGATCGTGACAGCCATTCAATTGTTTCAATTCCTTCATCCTCCAGGTACTGCCTGCATACTCTTGCCACATGAGGCCAGGCATTGTCATGCATTAGGAGAAAACCAGGACCTACTGCATCGGCGTAGGTTCTGACAAAGGGTTCAAGGATTTCATCTCCATACCTTATGGCAGTCAGAGCACCATTTCCTAGGCAGTAGAGGTCTGTGCGTCCCTCCATGGATATGCCTCCCCAGACCATCACTGACCCACCACCAAACCCGTCATGTTGAACGACGTTGCAGGCAGCATAACATTCTCCTTGTCTTCTCCAGACTCTTTCATGTCTATCACAGGTGCTCAGGGTGAACCTGCACTCGTCTGTAAAAAGTACAGGGCGCCAGTGGCGGACTTGCCAATTCTGGTGTTTTTGAGCAAATGCCAGTCGAGCTCTACGGTGCTGGGCAGTGAGCACAGGGCCCACTACAGGACGTCGGGCCCTCAGGCCATCTTCATGAAGTCTGTTCCTGATTGTTTGGGTAGAGATATTCACACCAGTGGCCTTCTGAGGTCATTCTGTAGGGCACGAGCAGTGCTCAGCCTGTTCCGCCTTGCACAAAGGAGCAGGTATCAGTCCTGCTGATGGGTTGTGGACCTTCTACGGCCCTGTCCAGCTCTCCGAGAATAACTGCCAGTCTCCTGAAATCTCCTCCATGTTCTGGAGATTGTGCCGGGAGACACATTAAACCTTCTTGCTGCAGCACGTGTGGATGTGCCATCCTGGAGAAGTTGGACAACCTGTGCAACTTCTGTAGGGTTAACGAATCACCTCATACTGCCAGTAGAGAGCCAAAACCAGCACGAGTGGAAAACCAGCCAAAAAAGATCAAGAGGGAGAAACTTGAAATGACCTCTACATGTTAAACCAGTCCTGTTTTGAGGGTTTTGTAATTGTTGCCCCTTTAGTGCACCTGTCGTTAAGTCCATGAACACCAATACAGCTGAAAGTGATTAACAATGCCCTCAGCTGCTTAATCAACCAGGAAATTATCAGACAGGTTTAAATGATTTCATGTCAGGCCCAATAAAAAAAAGTGTTCCTTTAATTTTTGTGAGCAGTGTAATTAAAAATGTTTTTTAGATCCAAAGAAGTTATCTATTGTTGGTTAGTTGCTTAGTAGTTGCAGCTTCGGTGGCTAGCGGGTAGTAACTCGCTTATATTTTTAATTTAATAAACATACACACAATTTATAAAGTAAAAGGCTCGTTATATATTGAAACTAATACGTATAAAATAGAACGTTATCTCCCGTGTCACATGATGTTACATGACCGCTGTGGAAGCCGCGGTCACGTGATGCAAGTCTGTTCCATTTAACCGTTTTCTTTGACCAAGGAAGGACACTGTCCTTTTAAGTAAGGCACCTGGCCTTGCGAGAAATCGCCTTGCAAGGCCAGGCATTGAGAAACACCCTTAGACCCACTCCCATGTATTTTAGAACAGATCTTTAAGGTTATGAAACAGCCAATATTTTTCAACAACCGGGTATCTTTTAATTCATTTACAACAACATTTCAATGGATGTTTCCAATGGTAAAAACTACACATTGTCACTTAAAAGCCAGATACTAAAGGCTTGAGTTCTCATGTTTCCATCCAGTTGACATAAATAATACAGAAATCCTTCATAGACAGAGTGTGTGGCCACCAGTCAATGTAAACGACTGATTACAAGTAAGTTAGCGGGACATTCGCAATGACTGGATAAGATTTTTCCTAAATTGTACATTTCAGAGGCGACTTAAATTATTCCTTTTTTTATTTAACAAATGTTTATCTTTATTTCTCATCCCAGACATACAAAGAGACACAATTATTTACTTTATAGTTCTTTATTTACTTTATAGATCCCAGGCTTGTCTGTGTGCAGCTTTAATTCTCTCTCTGATCTTAACCCAGCAGTGATTTCCTAACTTTGCTCCTGGGCAGCACTCCATCCACCCTGGCAGGTCCCGACAGTATGCAGATGACTGCAGCTTATCCCTCACAGTCAGTAAGAGACAATACTTCCTCTGTAGACACTAGCAGCCTGGTTTCTCCTTGGGGTTGTCTGCTCTGACTGAATCCAAACATTTGTTCAAGAGTCGAACAAATTCAGTCCAATTCTGAACAAACCTGAACCTTCTGATCGATCAGAAAAGTGTGAAGTTACGGACAGGGACTGTTGGGATTATCCAAACATCTGTTGCACTGTGCTCACTGACTTCATCTGTTTTATTTGCAGTGTGAGTCATTCCAACACAGCATGAGGCCCTATGCCGCTGATGATCAATAAAGTCCTGGAGGACCACAACAATGACCCGGCTAATGTATGCACACTCGGCATTTCTCAAACACACCGTAAGAACGGTGTGAAAACTGTTTATTGGTGTAAGACATAAATTATGCATCCAGTTCATTTCCTCGTCAGCAGGTGGGCTCGTGGCCTTTGTAGGTTTTTTATTACATTTGTTTGTCTGTTGAGACTTTTTCTGTCATTTCAGATCTCATTTTTTTCACAGCAAAATGAAGCCTATTTGACACCTTTACCTTTGAATGAGTAATCCAGAGAAAGTAATGGAAAAACTGATGAAAACCTCCACTTGAGTGTACCAAAGAGACTTCATTAACTAAAGGAGATGCAGAAGGTCATTCCTGCTCACTGCGGCTGCAGAAATCTGTTAGTTTCATATTTAAAGAATAGATTTAAATGCAGACAGAAGTGGAGGACTTTGTCTGACTCAGGTCCTGGATTAAACGTTACAACTGTCTGACATTAGAGAGTTGTTTGTTGTTGCTCCCCCTTTCTGCAGAGGTCAGTTCATGTTGACACACTCAGCAATATTCAGATATTAACCCAATAAAGATGCTGCCTCAGATGCTGACATGAATAAGGTCACATTTGGGGTCATTTAACTGGGTTATTATTGAACTATGTGAGATTCTGTTTTCAGATTGTATGCTCTGAGAGTCAGAACAGAATGGGGTGGCTGATGATAGAAAGAGGTTCTTGGTGTTTGAGAAGCATTTATGTAATAAAGGCTTTAGCTTTGGGAAAGGGTTAAAGGTGTGAATCATTTGTTTAACCAATATTTACAGTAGTTTCTAGTAGGAATGAATGCCTTGTAAGTCGTACTCTGGGGTAAATAGCAGCAGTGTGCTTGTTTCAGGGACTCGAAGTGAGCCACATAAGAGTCTTATTCCCTGATATTTGGGTATCTCGCCTCCAGTTGGCTAACAGCAACACAACTCTACCACTGGTTGCATTTGCTCTGCAACTTTAATGTTTTATCTCCACAAATAACACAAGCCTGGAGGAGTTCTGTCATGTGGTGTGGTTGCTAATGTTAGCTTCTACTAGCTGAGACTTTCTCTGCTGTTTACTGGACACTAAAACATCAACAGCCTTCCCCTTTGTGACTCAAGACGGGTGAGTCCGTGAAGGCAAAAGTTGTATGTGGAACAATTTAATAGAATCCTATACTTTTATTTAAAATTTTCAAACATTTATTTTGACGGGCACAACGCTGGCTTTATGTTTACATCCACCAGCCAATAGAGGGCGCCGTTGTTGCAGGCTGCCACATCAGTCCGTTCAGCCCAGCGAGGCTGGCCCTGTGGAAAATGGCGGACTCGGCAAATCACCTTTAGGTCTCCTCCTGGTTGGACGTGCCAGGAAAACCTCACCAGGGAGGCGTCCAGGAGGCATCCTGACCAGATGCCCGAGCCACCTCAACTGGCTCCTCTTGATGTGCGAGGTCGAGGAGCGACCATAAAAGATCTAAAACCAGAGTGAGTTTAAGTGAAGCCTACAACAGATGGACCCAAACCGGCAGAGAACCCGGTATCCCGACAGCTGAAACCTTGTTCTGTTGTTGCAACTACAACCTCCACACACTTTGGTGTCCGTGCTCCGTATTCCCCCTTTAAGTGAGTGTGACGTAGATCTGAATTTCACCGAAGAAAAACAGATGCTGTCCTGTCAGAATGAAGGTGGTAAAGACTGCTGCCACCTAGCAGTCGGAGTTTGAATGACACCGCACAAAAGAAATACAGTAATTTTTTTTATGTAAACCCTCCATTAAAAAGTATATATTTGAGCAGATGCCTAGATTCTTCAGCTCTGACTCATAAAAACACAGAAGAGCGTAATCGGCTCAGGTGGAGGAGGTCAGACTGTGTCATCTCATGTATTTACTTCTGGCAGTAAGGTCCGCTCTGATGTTTTCCTTACAAATCATGAGGTGATCTTTCAGTAAAGATCTGACATGTGTCAATCAGTTGAATACAAGAAAACAAGCAGATCAGGACAACAAATGCATACATATCCTGGTTTACTTTAGGCTGTCCACATCTGATTTCCCTCCATGACACCGGGTGTCAGATTTATTCTCTACAGATGAGAGGGGGTATTTAAAATTCATGATTGGGTGGCCAGACGGCTGCCTAGCTGGAATGTAAAAGCCGTGGCTGATAAATGCAGTCTGGCTTACGAGGTTCAACAAGACTAATCTTTGTCGCATGCAGATTGCTTGTGTTCTCATTACATGCATGTCTGGTGAAAGTAATGATGCCATATTGTGGTTCACTGTTGCTGGACGGCAAAGACATTTTGTTTTTTTAATTTCAAGACACAACTCAATGCAATACAGACGGGTGTTGATGGCTGCAATCATTGCACAGCACTCAATCTCAGCGCATTACTGTTCATCGCATGAAAAGAAGAGGAGGCGAGAGGAAAAATGAGAAATATATGAAGTAAGTCATTTGCTTTGACAAGTCTCCCACAACGTGTAATCACTATGTGCCTGTGCTGACTTGCTTCCTGTGAAATCCATTCTTGTTGCCAATACCCCCGTTGTTGTTTCCATCGTCTGCATTCCTCATTGCCATTGATCAGTGTCAGTGGGACAGATACCGACACGGACGGGGCAGGGAGGCACCAAAAGACTCGTGTCAACATATTCAGGGAGTTCTGTGCATGATTCTTCATCAAAACCTTTTTGCATGGGATCTCATTAAATGCTAAAATAGTTTCCGTAGATGGCTGATGATCTCAGCTAATCTAGCTACTTTCCTGACTGAAAGGTTTGATTCCATCTCTTTAATTGGTCGTTTCTCAGTAGACCAACATGTGACAGATTTAGTTACACCTTTTGCTGACACTAACGGAACACTTTACCATTTTTTCATATCATTAAATCATTTTCTTGAGCCAGTATGTGCATAACATGACTCTTTACAGGGTTAATAAAATATCACCCAGCCCCCATCGTCGCCTGTGGCCAGAATATTCCACCTGTAACTTCAGACTGGCGGGCCGCTCTGTTGGGACAGAACCTGATGCTACAGTCCAACTTCAGCATATTTTCTGCATGTTTTGGATCACTCCTGTAGACACTAATGAAGGCTGAGGAGACATAGCGAGGAGATTCAGTTCTACAAACGATCCCTAGGGGGTGCTTAAAGCAAGCCAAAACTGCCTAGTTTCCCTTTAAGCTACAAATGTATTTAAATAATGCACTGGATTCCAAATAAATATAGAAAACTGATTAATTTTCCTATTTTAACTATCAACCATGTTTTCTGCTTAAGCACTATATTCTGCTAATTTTTTTACACTACAACTAAATTAAAACCTTTAAAATAGTACTTTGAAGGCATTAGCCTCTGAACTATGAGAACAGCTTTGAACCATTAAAAAGGCCCTCGTTAGCCCGTTTGGCATAGACAACCATGATTGGATTTTCACTCAACCAATAAGGTGGAGCCACAGGTGGGCGGGTCAAGCTAACATAGGGTGATCCAACTTCATTAGCGGTCAGTCTGTTTACCTTTAATACATAAAGACTCCAAACAGCTCTGGAAAGTTGAAAAACCTTTTTATTACAAGTGTAATACAAAACAAATCCGACTGTATTACATTGAAATATAATTTGATTCTGTTTGATTGCATTTAATTGGAATTTTTTTTTAGATTCAAATATTGGAATTTGTTTGGATTTTGCAATAAAATTAGCATTTGACAGCGCCCGCATCTCTGCAAAAAATAAATAAATAAAGCATAATCAAAAGGTCATAGAGGGAGTCTTGTATGATTTTGGTCCATTCACTTGGAAATTTCTTTCTGCCAGCAACAAATAATTATTCATATCCTGCAGCTGGGAATCAAAGCTGTCCTAAGCATGACTCTACTTCATGTTTCTGAGTCACATCTGCAGTGTTTGTTGGTTTTAAACTAAAAGGGTGCAGAAGAGGAATTCAGAATGAGATCCCCTCAAGTTCAGGATTCATGATCCAAGCTTTTCTTGTACAAGGAGGGAAAATATTGTTTTTTTTTCCAGTAGTTAATACTGCAACAAATAATCACAGCATGATAACCACGATAAAACACAGAATGCATTTGATTCTTTAGAGTTTTGTGCCTGAGATCATGTCTGACTTTCTTCCAGACTTTTAATTTATTAATCGTGTCAAACAAATGCAAATTTTATCTAAAATGGCTGTTTTGTGTTTTTGGTGGAACTAACAAAAGTTATAAAAACTAAGAAAGACTTGACAGGTATGCATTCCTTATTTAGGAAGGTTTTTTGTGCACGTAATTAGGCTGGCCAGCCCTCAGTGAACAAGAATAGCGGCTGTGTGGCCATGCATGATAAGTGGAACTGCCTCCTTGTTTAATATCCCCCTGCCCAAATCAGTGATGCCGGATGCCGGGGCTGACGGCTCAGTTAACGCGGTAATCAAGAGATCAATGAGTGCTAAATGATCCAGTGAGAAAGATGGCCATCATTTTAGTGCAACAGAACACAATCATTTGCAAACAATTTTAACTCTGTTAATTAAAAATGGCACAAAAGCAATATCCAGTGCAGACATTGTTTTGGTTTTGTTTATTTATTTTTAATGCAAGCTACAGGTTTCGTTTGCAAAACTGCAGGGAAAATGTTCTGGTCCTGATAAAGCAAAAATATGTCTGCAGGTTATTTGAACACACCAGAAACAACCTTAATCTGTTCTCGTTACAGTTTTAGATTATTTTTTTTTATTTTTTTCATTTATGGTGCAATTACTGGAAAACCCATTTTGCTTCTTAAAAGGTCCATGAAGTATGAATGTCCTCCTGTGGTCAAAGTTGGGTACTCCAGTCCATGCAGTCCTTGAGTTGTACAAACTCCGCTGTCAGCCTCTGCCCCCACTGTTCTTAAGTTTAACCAGAGTGAACATCAGCACGGCCTACGCTAGTTTGAGGGAGCTAAAAGAGGCTACAAAATCACAGACTAATGGTGACCTGGCTTTGTTGCTACTTGACTAAGTCTGACAGTTTGGATCTTTTTATTTTAGTATCAGTTGTGTTAGCTCATGTTAGAGCTAGCTACAGCAGGGTTTTTTTTACGACAGTTGTAATTCCACTTTCAACCAGATGGCTGGAGTAGCAGGAAACTGCTCACTGTCACTTTAAGGAAGTCTTACTGTTGCAGCAGCAAGTAGTTTAATATAGAAACCAGTTGAATATTTTTGTGTCATACACCATTTGTGAAAAGTGATTACCGTAAATCCTCTAATACAGGCCTATATTAGAGGATTTACGGTAATGTGTGTTTGATCATTTAAAAATGGAAAAATGATCATTTATGTGAAATTATAGCCTGGCCTGCCGGACTCGTCCTCTGTTTAATTCTGCACAGAGAAAGAGTCTGGTAACTCACAGGCAGAGCGGCACTTGAGGGGCGGGACTAGGAAGCTCAAAAATGACCAATCAGAAAAAAGAAGGAAATCCTGACTACCGCACGATGCGGTAGATTTCTAGTTTTAGTTAAAAAAAAATAGCGTCTGGCAACGGCAAAAATATCTTATTTTTTTTAGAAGAAATCCTTTTAGCGCTTCTACGTGTGGTTTTAAAGACATGTGAGTTGTTTAGAACAGAGGAAAGAGTCGCAGCGAACTCCACCTCTCTCTTCGTTGTTTATGAGAAACTGAGCATCGCCGTGTGTGACGTCCGCGACGCTGTAGTTTTTTAGCTGTAGTAAAAATGGAGTCTGGCGACAGCGCAAACATCTTTGTTTAGAAGAAATGCTTTCAGTGCTTCTACTTGTTGTGGTTTTAAAGACGTGTTCAAACCATTTAGAACAAAGGAAAGAGCCGCAGCGAACTCCACTTCAGTCACCATGTTTATGACAAATCTCGGCGTTGTGGTGTGTGACGTACGATACTCAGCGCTGATTGGCTCGGTTAGAATTCTGGCGGGGTGGGTTTATTTGAATAGGAGAGTTCCAAGACCCTTTCTCTGTGCAGAATTAAAGAGGAGGAATCTGGCAGGCCAGGCTAGTGGAATTAGGGACCAGATAATGACTCGCTCCATGCAATGGGAAGCAAATTAAAATTGCCCATCAGCTAATAGACCATTATTGGACGTAATGTTATTTCCTCATTTTTCTCCTTACACCACATGGACTGCTGGATAATTGGAGTACTGTAATTTCTTTGTTTGCCAACAACGCCCTTCGGTGGAAACCCAAATTGCTTCTGTGAGCCATTTTTTCCCCCCAAATCAAAGTTTGCAGTTCTGCTTGTTAAGCAGAGTCGTGTAGAAGGAAGAGGAAAAGCTCTGCTGGTGTCAATACCATTAGAAGTTCATTCGGTGTGTTGATTGTGTCTTTAGATGATGAATTCGAACGTCGTTAGTGTGCAGGCACGTGGAGACATATGGCTGCCAGTGTGAGACCGCAAGCCTCATAAATCACCCGTGACAACAGATAATGAATGCAGGCCTATCGGAGAAGATTGGTTTGCCCATCCCTAGAAGTTCTCTGAAATGATTGTGGAACTTATATTGACAAGATTTGTGTACAACTTCTAATTAGATTACCAAGATGAAACCTAGAAGAAAAATACGTTATGAAATGTGGCATTTCAGAACTTTTAATTACAATTCAAGTATATAATGATTTTTGCTCCCTTCATTTGTATTGTTTACTTGATTTTGATCTGTGTTTTAAGAAATTTATTTTATTTATTTATTTCATTACCGTTTTTCGTCAGAACATCTGAGCCTCGACAGCCCGGCAGATGGGAGGCCCGTGTTCAGTTTGGGGATGTCACCGGATGTTCCTGGACGTGTTTCAGGAAAATACAGGTACCACCAAATCCCAAAAGGAGTTAGGAGTATTTGGCTGTGCCTCTGAGGCGTTGGTGCACAGTCGCTGAGCTAAAATGGACTGTAAAGCTGTCAGGAAATATTTAAACTTGAATTAGATTAACTCTAGAGGCTAATCAGAAACTGAATATCAGAGGAGTGTTGGTGGAGTTCATTCACAGGCTAATGAGACACATTTGACCTCAAATCATGTACACGAAAACTAATGTAGCTGCAAATCAAGTAGTTACAGAAATGTATTCTTTTTCTGGGTTTCACCTGTTTTATATCTTCAGAGGAAAAAGTTTCATTCTATTTAATGTCAATCTTCTAACCTCAGTGAACAACTTATCACTTTCTCATTCACTCACTCACACACACACACACACACACACACACACACACACACACACACACACACACACACACACACACACACACACACACACACACACACACGCACACACACACACACACACACACACACAAACTTGCATGCAGGCAGACACAGTTTCTCTCGAAATCCCAACCTAAATTATCCTGTAACTCCGGAGGCCAGCAAAACTGCCAAATTGATGGCAGGGCAGGAGGGGATTGTGGGTAATTCTGTGTCACATTTCCAGCTAAAAGTGATGCCTCTTTGGACAGATAATGGCCCGCAGAACACAGCGACAGAAACACCGTGTTCCCTCTCCTCTAACACCCAAACAGAAGCATTTCTGTTCAGATGCATCTCACAGAGGTTTGTGAATTTCCTCATCTATAATTTTGAAAAAGCTAATGAAAATGGTTTAATTATGCACCTCTGCTTTTACATCCTGTAGTAAAAGATCCACCCTTCAACGAATTTGTGTTCTTTTTTAATAAGACAGAATAGTTTTAGCCTCTCAGCGCCTCTGTGTCACCTTACGGGGCCGATTATTGAATAAAACCTATAATCTTAGTGCATTTTCAATTTGACAGGATTTTTATAGTTTTATTGGTTAATTAAATTGTATGGGGACTGTTGGGTGGACCTTAAATGGAAAACTCATTTTTTCTTCATATCTTATTGTTAAAACTTTTATAGCTTTGCTTCTGTTTTTATTAAATGTGGTTCTCTTTATTTCCTCCACTGGTTCCTCTGTGGGTCTCCTTTTCCCTTTTCTCATTCCAGCTTTTGTACTTTAAATCCCTTTTTTACCTCGTCTAATGGATGAAATTAGGAAATGGATGAATTTAGACAGGAAGGATTTGATGAAATGCAAAACCTTTGCTTTGTTTTAAACTAAAAATGGAACAAAAATGAGAAGCACAATCTGCTTTTAGCTACCAACATGTTTCCATATTTTCCCTGAAAATAACAAATAAAAGTCTCAGAATTATGAGGCCAGAACAGTCTCAATAAGAGTTAAGTCACACAACGTTTTCCACAAATGCACACGTTCATTCGGAAATCCACATTCTGTGTTTCACAAATATAATTCGGAGGAACACAAATGCACACGCTCATTCTGAAATTCACACTCTTTGACTCATAAATATAATGTGAAAAAATAAGTCACGCAACATTTTCCACAAATGCACATGCTAATTCTGAAGTTCACACTCTGTGGTTCACAAATATAATTTGTAAGAACACTTGTAATATAAACTCAGATCGTACGAATTGCTGAACGTGCATTTACGAACAGCTTCTCATTTGTGAACCTTTCCGCGTTTGTGAGTGAAATCTGTGTGGTGCATTCACGAACAGCTTCTCATTTGTGAACCTTCCTGCATTCGTGAGAGAAATCGGTGTGCTGAATTTTGAGACTCTCCTAACGTCGCAGGTCAACAAACGTCACCATTGGCTAATGAATCTGTCAATCAAATATATGATTCTGCCAGGGCTGTTCGCTTTCAGCCAATCATATGGGTCCTTATGTCACAGAACAGATCTGCTGTGCGCATGCGCATTGCAGTTCACACGGCAGAGCAGGATGGACCGGTCACGATCTGTGAGTAATAGTTTTATCTTATTCCCTCGTTGTAATTGATGCAATGTTATAGAATTATGAGTAGAAGCGTTCTTCATGATCAAGTAAAATGTTTTATGTTAAATTCAGTCCAGACGTTACGTGAAGTCTGGTCCATTCTTCATCTAGTTTAACATCAAGCTAAACTCAAGTGAACATTTGTTTAGTTAGCGTATCTAGGTACCATTTTTTTAGGCGACGGTTGTCAAACTCAAGGCCTTGGTCTATTTTTATTTGCCCCGCGAAATCAAATATCAAATATATAATATTAAACTGGCCCGCCGGGCGATTTCGCTAATAAGACTACTAATCCCATAGTGCTTTGCGGCGTTAGCGCGCGAGACGAAGCAAGCCCTCTTTTATGTTTACATCATTAGCATCCATGCTAGTCGAATCAGCGTGTGCAGCGTTACCCTCAGTCTTAAACAACTGAAGATACTCCTCTAAGCACCCAGTTTACTCAGCGAGTTTCTGACTTTGAACGCCTAGAAAGAAGGTATCTGGCTGGAACAGGTGACCATCAAAGTGGAGCGAACTGAGCTTGTAATATTTAATTGCCATGCACTTTTTCTGCTCCAAAGCATGAACGTTAATAACTGAGATATTTTCATAGAAGATAATTGCTATTTTTGGTTTTCACAGGTCTTAACTTATTTAATTATCTAACATGTTATTGTATGGCTGTTGTACCTTTCATTTGGTAATTGATTGTTTTGACCCCTATAAAAATGTGTCATATGAGAGTGTTTGTGCTTGAATTACATAGATCATGTACCTGAAGGTAGCTGACAACAACCGGGCAGACACCCACCTTGCCTTCTTCAGTGAAGCTGTGAATGAGCATGGCTTTCCTCTGAGGTATTCATGTTATTCTCAACTTTACCCTCTGTTACCCTGTTACAAATCTGCTTTTGCCTAAAGTGTGTTATTGACCAAAGATAACATGCCATTTGAGGTCATATAGTAAAATCTATGGGGGGGGGGGGGGGGGGGTGTGAACATTTCCCTCTTTCAAAAAAAATTTCCCCAGCAGAGGGTTAATAATGCCACATTGTTTATTGTTTACTCACTTAGTAGCAAGGTACATAAGGAAATTTCTGTGAGACTCAAATTGATGTAGATTGTTATAGATGTGCATTAAAAATGTTTGAAGCAAGATTCTAATGTTTTTTTTTTTTCATGGTGAGAGGAGATCATGGCGGAGAAAATGTAGGTGTTGCAGAATTAATGTTCTCAGTTCGTGGAACTGACACCAACAGCTTCATTGCAGGAAAAAGTGTACACAATCAACGGTGAGTTTAACCTAATTTGGAAGCTTTGTGTCTGTGCGCGCGTGCCTGTGCCTGTTGACGTGCACAGGGTGTACCCTTCGTCTCACACTTTGACTGCTAGAGATAGGCACCAGTCCTCCTGCGACCATTCAAAAGATAACTCAAGTTGAAAACGGATGTATGGACATGTAAATTTGTGTGTATATTATAATTTTCTTTTATTTAATCCCCCTCCAAATCCAGGATCGAGCGCCTGTGGCGTGATGTCTTCATGAGTGTTACTGGTCTATATTACAACATCCTGCACTCTCTGGAAGACCAAGACTTGCTCGACATCAGTAACATCCTTCACATGTTTTGTTGCCACTATATTTTCTTGTCTCGCATCCAGGCCAGCCTGGATGTCTTTAGAGATGCGTGGGACAACCATCCAATCAGGACAGAGGAAAACATGACACCAAATCAGCTGTGGCATCTGGGCCAGGCTCTGAATCCTGTTTCTGATCCAGGGGCAAATGTATGTTCTGTTAAAATGATTGATCACATGTCAAGTTGATCCTTAACTATAAATCAAATGTTCAACACTTTGATAATCTACCTCTGCTCTATGCTTCTTGGATTCAAGACAAAATGGTTGTTGAAATTACGGTTCTGTTTGTGTGCACCTCTACTGAAGTGGACACTGTCAACTATAATGTCATGACATTACAAAGTCATGACGCATCTGCAAGTTCAAAATGCAAGGCATTAGACCTTCCAGATGTGATATTCTCACTGCTGTTTTAACATAAAATTTGCCCATTAATTAAAAAAAAAATAATTTATGAAATAATGGAGATGCTAGGTTCTGCCTGACATCATTGATGTTAAGTAATTGTTAAAAGGTCATGATAGGGCTTTATTAAATGTGTTTTCTTGAGATTCATTATGCACAATGCTCATACACACTTTCTTTTTCCAGGGTATACCGACACCAGAGATTGAATGGGAGGAGAACGGATACATGACTGAACCTCATCCTGAGATCAGTGTCCTTGTACTGGACAGTCCTCTTTCAGATCATGAAATGTTGGAACTGCAGGACAGCATTAATCCGTTGCAACATTCAGACTCTTTTGGGAGTGGACACATCTTCACACTGTCCAGTATGTTGAGAACTTACTTGAGGCTAGATGATTACATGTGTGAAGAAGGAAGGAGAGAGAAGGTAGGGAGTTAGGAAGAAAGAAAAATAATTAATGAGACAGGAAGGAAGAAAGTTAAAAGTGAAGGAGTGGTCCATTTTAAGGTTAATATTCTGTATATTGTTATTCAAGGGATTTGCCGTCGTAAATATGAAATGCTAAAGGATAGACCCCAAAATAGATGTCTAAATTCATTTATAGTTGTGTATTTCCTTAAAGTCTTTGTCAGCCTGATTTATTTTAGACCAGGAATGTATTTGAAAAGGCTGCTGTTCACTTCATCTATGCTACAATTCTTCAAAATGTAAATGTGCTATCATTGCTAGAGTTGGTTTAGTAACATGCATCTTCCTGTGTATCCAGCTCTAATAAAAACATTTAAAGGTGAAGCACCTACTTATCAGGAGATCCATTTATTTTTACATGTTATTGTTTGAATTTTGTCTCGTTTCATAACTTTTGCTCAACATTTAAGGGGAACTGTGTTACCCTGCGATCATCTTCATTACACTTGAAAACTTGTACTATACCTCCGTCCGTCTACTTATTAAATGGAATAACATGACAAGATTCTATCTACTGGTTTTTTGATCAAGGGATGATTAGGTGTTGTGAGAAGATTCTCTATGCTTCTGAGTCTGTGTTAAGTTGCAACTGGACACACATACCCACACACAGTTTGTTCATTTGTTCTCAGAATGAGAATAATGTCTTTTAGAGTTAAAAAGTTATTTTTTTTTCTTGATGTCACTGAAGGCTGTGTTAGAAATATATGCAGCTCATTAAAAGGAAAAGTAACTGATGTAACCAAAAGCCTGAACACAGGAGAATAGAGACACCTGCCAAGATAAAGAGCTGGAGCTTTTGCTCCTTTTCAGAGTCACTCCCATGGAATAGGCCTGATGATTTACTAGCTTCTCTTACCTTCTCTGCAAACAATGTTTAATATGAGCTTCAAGAGGTCTCTGCCCCTAACGGGGTTTGCTTTCACTTAGTAAAAATGCATAATTTTTCTGAATAAGATTATTAAGAGGCCACCCATATGGTGGAGCGTTGGTAATGTAACCGGTTAGATTTGTGTCCGACTTGATGCCGACTTGCTCTGACGTCATGCATACGTAGGCAACGATAACCACTTGAGATCAAGGCGGCCGCAGATTTTGGAGCAAGGCGCTGCAGTTGCTCTCCCTCGGCTGCTAAACCTAGGGGATGACGGGAAACGCCTGGCTCTCACCTGATCTAAGATCTGATTGGTTCATATTTTGATCCAATCATCTGGTGGTAGAACATGAAATGTTACTTGGTCACATGTATTCTGTAAATCATGTAACGTTGATGATGACAACTATATAGGCCATAAAGAGAAATGTGATTTGTGTTCTTTTGTTATGTTTCCTATGAGCACACTGAAGCTACAGCTGCTAACCTTTACTTATTATTACAGTCATGTCTCCATATACAATATATGATATCCACAAGCATGTGAGGATGTGTTTCAGCTGCTAACAGGCACCAGAATTAAAATTGAAAATTGAACAAGTATGAACGCTAACGCGATATCTTCATCCATCGTCACCCCCGAGCTACACATGCAGGAAATTGTGTCCGACTTATGCGCACAGCAGATCTGTTCTGTGACATAAGGAGCCATATGATTGGCTGAAAGCGAACAGCCCTGGCAGAAGCATATATTTGATTGACAGGTTCATTAGCCAATGGTGACGTTTGTTGACCTGCGACGTTAGGAGAGTCTCAAAATTCAGCACACCGATTTCTCTCACGAATGCAGGAAGGTTCACAAATGAGAAGCTGTTCGTGAATGCACCACACAGATTTCACTCACAAACGCGGAAAGGTTCACAAATGAGAAGCTGTTCGTAAATGCACGTTCAGCAATTCGTACGATCTGAGTTTATATTACAAGTGTTCTTACAAATTATATTTGTGAACCACAGAGTGTGAACTTCAGAATTAGCATGTGCATTTGTGGAAAATGTTGCGTGACTTATTTTTTCACATTATATTTATGAGTCAAAGAGTGTGAATTTCCGAATGAGCGTGTGCATTTGTGTTCCTCCGAATTATATTTGTGAAACACAGAATGTGGATTTCCGAATGAACGTGTGCATTTGTGGAAAACGTTGTGTGACTTAATTCTTATTGAGACTGTGCTGGCCTATGGACTGTGCTGGCCTCATACAGAATCTGTCAAACATGATTTAATCTAGGCCGTGCCTTAACCAAAAAAATTACTTTTCTGTTACACAATGCAGAGCCGGCCCTAGACATATGTGAGTTATTCAACTGCTTGGGGCCCCCACACCAACAGGGGGCCCCCATGAGCACCAAAATAGTGTCAGAAATACCTTTTTTTAAATAAACTTTAAATGATAAAACACGAGGAACTTGTTTATATGTTATTTGTAGTGTCATTTTTTGTTTCCTAGTCCTGTAAAGTATTATTAGACAAAATAACACCGATAGGATGTAAGCTAATTAGAAAAGACGCTAAAATAGTGGGAATGTTATAAACAAAGTGTATACACACATAGTGGAGTCTAGGAATGATGAATCGTCTAGTTGGTTTAGGGGGCCCTCAAAGAAAAACCTGCTTAGGACCCCACAAAGGCTTGGGCCGTGTCAGTACAAGATCTGCTCGGGTACAGGATCTGCTCGGGGTCGTTCGACTGCCGATGATGTCAAAGTAGTTGATTAGCTGAACATGAAGCTTACGGAAGTGATGTTATGACGTTATGATTTTGATTGCTCAGAACAAATTTGCGGTCATAGTCTTAGCGGTTGTAGTCCTGTAGTCCAAAAATCAACACTTTTTGGAGAAAATATGCTTGAATTTCTAAAGGAAATGTAAAATATAAGCAAATGATAAACGGTGACCCTCAAAAGCTCTTGATGTTGATGAAATGGGGCAAAATAAAATATAAGAACTTTATTGAAAGACTCCAAGCAATATTTAGAGTCAAAGAATGTATTTAGATAACAACTAAGGAAATATACAGATGAACTCCACATTAATACAAACAGACATGGCTTCACATTTAAGAACTGTTTGTTTGTCAGTCCGATGTTGGTTTTATGCAGTTTCACATTCTTTACAAAACAAAGATTATATGGTGTTTTATTAACAAATTACAATTATAAAGAAAACATTTAGGTGTCAACAAACAACAAATTATTAACTCGTTCACTGCCAATGACGACTAAAGTCGTCATTTGCATTTTTTTACTGTTTGAGCATCGGAACGAGCCCCCACGCTAAGAGAACAAACATCTCAGCCCTGAAGCCGATCTTCATCCGCATACGTCACACATCTCATGATCAGGAAGCAGACCACCCATGTATTAGGAGATCGTTTTGGGCCGTTCCTGTAAAAAAAGTGAGGCGGGAACCGGAAAAGTGTCTGCCAATCACAATTCAACAACGGATTATGAAAGAACGGATAACGCTCGAAACACGCGGCTTCTTCCTGATGTAAGAGGTGAGTCTCCGCTTTGTTTTGGTTGTTTTGGCATCGACATCATGCTAGCGCGCAACGTTCTGTGACTCTTAAAAAAACTGTAAAAACGGTGAGAAACGCTGGCAGCGAAGGCCGTTAGCGATCAGGAAATGGCTGGCAGTGAATGAGTTAACAAAACTGCTGATGTCTTTCCAAAACGTATGTGTGAAAGCCAAGTAGATTTGCAGTCATGTGACATCATCGGCAGTCGAAGGACCCCGAGCAGATCCTGTACCGACACCGGCCCACCGGCCCTGACACAATAAACTAAGATGGCTCTGTGAGGCCGTTCCTGGTTTAAGGTGACACATCCTCCCTTTGACAAATGTTCTCACCTCCATTTAGGAGATAAACTTCTTCCTCATCACTCGTCATCATTTCTAGCTGAGTCATGCACCGGTGCGCTGATATGGAGCGGACCCAGTTCATCCATAAAGGACCCACCTCACACCAAACCTGCACATCATCATCTTATTCGCCAAGTAATGAATCAACCTGGACTTTATTTTACTGCCTTTGCCAAATGAAAGCACACATTTACAAGTCAGCTCTCAGATTAGTTTATTGATTCATCTGTAACATATCCTCTCCTTTTCCTGACTTTCCGCCATGCTCATCAGCCTTTCACCTGTTCTCCATGTTTTCAGCCACATTCGCTGCCGAGTTATTCCCCATTCTGCTCACGCCCCCACCAGCCACTCTAAAAGTCTCGTCTGCCTGCTCACTCCAACCAGCTCAGCCACTGGATCAGTGTCTTTCCCACTTCTCACTGAAGACCGATCACTCTGCCCCGACTGCCTTTGGCCTCCTGAGCTCCGACAGTCATCATTCACTCTTTAAGTCTGTGTCTTTAATTCTGCAGTAAATCTTTAAAACTTCCCTTACGAGTGTGGATCTCTTTGCTGTGTTCGTTACAACAACCGTATTACAAACAAATCCATTAATTGTCTAAGCTAAATTCTAAGAAAGACATTTTTCTGTTATTTTCTGCAGCTGTAGCTTGTATCTTATTGGCTGCTTTCATTGTCCAACAAGCTAAATCTGCAAACTTCTTCATCACAGAACCTGGTGCCTGCAGGCAGTGATGGAACAATGCTGTAAGAAAAGAAATGACCAAGTTGGTTCCACTAAACCTTGTTGCTTAAATGTAAAGAGTCATGCGCATTTACCTTTAATACAACAACAATGTTTGTAACTGTTTACATTTAAGCAACTAGTGGAGCCAGTTGACACAACTTGGTTAAGTAAATTTCATTTCTTACAGAGTGGCTGGACTAATGACGCGGATTTACGACTAAGAATGAGTTAAACATGATCTTTTAGAAAAGGTGTTAATTTTTTTAAATCTTCACTCTGACCACACACCAATGAACCTGAACAGATACTGTAACCTTTATTTTTGCATTTTAGGACCAACTCAGGCTGAGATAGTTGACAGATCGATGAAAAAATGAAGCTTCTAATATCCGTAAACATCAGCCTTGCCATGAAAACTGGTGAATGCATTTCCATAGCTGAAGTTCCCTGATTATAAGGAACAGGACTGTTTGTGATGCAGTTCTGATTGAAAGCTGAAATCCAGAGTTTTTTATCCAACAGCATCCAGAGGCTTAAAAATATATCGCACCTTAAGTCGTTCTCACCTCTTGTGTATTCACGGCTAAAATAAACACCCCTCGTTTGTGAACTCACACCTCTAGCCGGCAGCCACCAGAGCTGAAACACATTATTTACACATATTATTATCACGTTATGATTCTTGCCCTCGAGAAATGTCGCCAATTCTTCGTCATCCTCAGACGGGTACGCCTACTCTGTGAATGACATCATCTAAGAGGATGTCTAACGCTACTAATGCTAAGCGGCGCTCAATCCAAATTACATATTGCTCAACGGCTTAGCAAAAAAAATAAATTAGATATTGCATAGATAATATCACAGGTCAGGGTAGAACCGTCACTTTTACAGATTTCTAAAAGAAAAAAAATAAATAGACAATTTCTGAAAGTAGGAAAAGTCTCACACGTTAAGACCTGAATCATAAAGAAGGATT